TGACCTTGGTGACATCACATCATGGGTGACAGCAGGCTTGAATATAATGAGACTTGGTGACAGGTGATCACTGGGGACAGATGGTTGGAGTACAGTTGACCTTGGTGACAGGTCATCCGGGGAGACAGAGGGTTGGAGTACAGTTGACCTTTGAGACAGGTCATCCGGGGTGACAGAGGGTTTGAAGACACTTGACCTTGGTAACAGGTCATCACTGGGGGCAGAGGGTTGGAGTACAGTTGACCTTGGTGACATGTCATCACTGGGGACAGAGGGTTGGAGTACAGTTGACCTTGGTGACAGGTCATCACTGGGGACAGAGGGTTGGAGTACAGTTGACCTTGGTAAGAGGTCATCGCTGGGGACAGAGGGTTGGAGTACAGTTGACCTTGGTGACAGGTCATCACTGGGGACAGAGGGTTGGAGTACAGTTGACCTTGGTGACAGGTCATCACTGGGGACAGATGGTTGGAGTACAGTTGACCTTGGTAACAGGTCATCGCTGGGGACAGAGGGTTGGAGTACAGTTGACCTTGGTGACAGGTCATCACTGGGGACAGAGGGTTGGAGTACAGTTGACCTTGGTGACAGGTCATCACTGGGGACAGAGGGTTGGAGTACAGTTAACCTTGGTGACAGGTCATCACTGGGGACAGAGGGTTGGAGTACAGTTGACTTTGGTGACAGGTCATCAGGGGTGACAGAGGGTTGGAGTACAGTTGTCCTTGGTAACAGGTCATCGCTGGGGACAGAGGGTTGGAGTACAGTTGATCTTGGTGACAGGTCATCAGGGGGGACAGATGGTTGGAGTACAGTTGACCTTGGTGACAGGTTATCACTGGGGACAGATGGTTGGAGTACAGTTGACCTTGGTGACAGGTCATCACTGGGGACAGAGGGTTGGAGTACAGTTAACCTTGGTGACAGGTCATCACTGGGGACAGAGGGTTGGAGTACAGTTGACTTTGATGACAGGTCATCAGGGGTGACAGAGGGTTTGAAGACACTTGACCTTGGTGACAGGTCATCACTGGGGACAGATGGTTGGAGTACAGTTGACTTTGGTGACAGGTCATCAGGGGTGACAGAGGGTTGGAGTACAGATGACCTTGGTGACAGGTCATCACTGGGGACAGAGGGTTGGAGTACAGTTGACTTTGGTGACAGGTCATCAGGGGTGACAGAGGGTTGGAGTACAGATGACCTTGGTGACAGGTCATCACTGGGGACAGAACGTTGGAGTACATGTGACCTTGGTGACAGGTTATCACTGGGGACAGATTGTTGAGTACAGTTGACCTTGGTGACAGGTTATCACTGGGGACAGATTGTTGAGTACAGTTGACCTTGGTGACAGGTCATCACTGGGGACAGATGGTTGGAGTACAGTTAACCTTGGTGACAGGTCATCACTGGGGACAGAGGGTTGGAGTACAGTTGACCTTGGTGACAGGTCATCAGGGGGGACAGAGGGTTGGAGTACAGTTGTCCTTGGTAACAGGTCATCACTGGGGACAGATGGTTGGAGTACAGTTGAGCTTGGTGACAGGTCATCAGGGGGGACAGATGGTTGGAGTACAGTTGACCTTGGTGACAGGTCATCACTGGGGACAGAGGGTTGGAGTACAGTTGACCTTGGTGACAGGTCATCACTGGGGACAGAGGGTTGGAGTACAGTTGACCTTGGTGACAGGTCATTTCTGGGGACAGAGGGTTGGAGTACAGTTGACCTTGGTGACAGGTCATCACTGGGGACAGAGGGTTGGAGTACAGTTGACCTTGGTGACAGGTCATCACTGGGGACAGAGGGTTGGAGTACAGGTGACCTTGGTGACAGTTCATCAGGGGGGACAGAGGGTTGGAGTACAGTTGACTTTGGTGACAGGTCATCACTGGGGACAGAGGGTTGGAGTTCAGTTGACCTTGGTGACAGGTCATCACTGGGGACAGAGGGTTGGAGTACAGTTGACTTTGGTGACAGGTCATCGGGGTGACAGAGGGTTTGAAGACACTTGACCTTGGTGACAGGTCATCACTGGGGGCAGATGATTCGAGTACAGATAGACCTTGGGTAGGAACTTTGACACCCAGGGGTGAGTCAAGTGGGGATGCTGGGCCAACAAACAACCCCCCCCCCCAAAAAAAACAAACAAACAACAAAACAACCTACCCAACCGCGTCGTCAAGGGAAGTCAAAAGGCATAACGTTATAATATTATTATTGACTTTTTAGCCATCCACATGTACTCCGTCCAGTTCCTTTACATTGTTATTGTTAGATATAGAAGAGTTGTATTAAACCGTATTGAATGTATTAACCATATTTATATATATATTTACTCACCATTGTACCAATTGTAGTGACATTGTTAAAAAAAATAATAATAATAGTTTATGCTCAATGTTGTACCCTATATCTGTATTTGTATGGCTGCAGTTAATCAACCCAATGGTCACAACAAGAACAAGGAAGAATACGAAATTTAAAGGATATCAAAAACAAGCAGCTTGGGTCTCGACGTCACAGTCCTATAGAGTGTGGGGACACACTCTTCGTTAGAGGGGGCGTATTATAGGCATGAGATTATGGTATTTGCCACAATAAGAGATATACCATTAATATTATTAATAACAGGTGATTAAGAGGGGAGAAGATACAAATTATGAGAGGATTTAATAATATATTCAAGATATGAAGTGATTAATAACGTTGTAAGGCAGAAGTCAGTAACGTAGGTAATGAAGATGAAAGTAGGTGTCGTTGGAGCTGATGAGGGCAGGGTGAGGTGACTCATAGTTAGATAGGTAAAAACTACTATATTATCAAGATGGAGCGACGTGGCCGGGGACCTGGCTGCCAGTTCTTGGTACTCTACGAGCCATATATGGCTAGGGGAGAGAGACTCTGAGATTCCTGGAATCCACCTCACGGTCGTACAAATATGGTAGTAGGGGTACGAAATAGAGGTGGGGGAGAGTGATAGATGGTCAGGTTGTGGGTTATTGACCAATAGAATAAATGGAAAAGGGTGTTGGTTGTGACGTAGGAACCCAGGTTTAAGCGGAAGCAAAGCTCAGAGACGGGAGTCAGGTGCGGGCCTTCTCTTGCTGTTGGTCACTAGGAATCGTCTCAGAAATTATCTTGAAGCACCAGCATTTGGCTTAAGACTGAAGCTTTGCGGCTGAAGTCTAATAGAGTGACCATAGAGTAGGTTGACCAACTACACAGTGTTAATAAAAACTATTGAACGAAGATCATCGTCTTGTGTTTGCTGGATGGACTACGGTAAAGTTCCAAGGGCCCCCGGGTACTGACACTGTACCTTTCGCACATCCCTTATCGTCAGGGGTATACCGTAGTCCAGGTAACGATGCACCATCCCAGGTGCGGGATACTGACAGGTAAATTCCATCTACCTGCCAGGTAAAGGTGCTAGTCGGAACGCCTTGGAAAGTAGGGCTTCAACGAGTCAATTTTCTTGGTCTCGAGTACTCGAGGGGAGAGACTCGACTCGGACCCGAGTACTCGAAATTCATACCTTTCAAGCAAACAATAACGCAACCGGCATCACGTGTTCCGGTCACAAAGTGAACACTTACATCATTCCGACTATATCGTCGTGTGACTAAAATTTCCCGTTGGTCAGAATCAGTATTTGTATGTTTACGTGCCAAATGTTGTTGTTTTTCATCGTACTGGTTGTACTGCCTGAATAACGCAGTGATATACCGCACATGTGGCATTTGGTTATTTTTCTCTTTTCACTGTCCAGATCAAGATACGCCCATACATTTGATTTTGTATCGTACGTTCTCCATGTCTATTAAGATAGTTACCTAATCATTTTAAGAAGTGAAATCTCACACGATGCATAATATTTACTCTCATCTGCAGACTTGTAACAACTAATACCATACAGCCACACCTTATGAGGGGTAAACTATTTAATCTAGGCGTTAATAAAAACATTATCATTTGGGTTAAAGAATTCAGGGTACATAGAACTCAGTATGTCAGTGTCAATTGCTATCAATCTACTTTTCTCTCAACGTCTACTGGAGCTCCACAGGGCTGTGTTCCTTCATCCGTACGTTTCGTTTTGTATACCAATGATTGTTACTTGTCAATGAATGACTTGTTTACTGTGAAATTCGCAGATGACGCCACTGTCACTGGCCTAATTTCCCATTCTGAACATTATTATCGTCAAGGCATTGGCAAAACCGTTTATAGATTATCAAATCTTTATTCAAAATGTGTTGAGTTACAATTTTCTATGTTGGTATGGGGGTCTGTCTGATCGCAACAATTTTTTTTTTCAAAATTGTTAATACTGCCAGCAAAATTGCTTGAGTGTCTTTCGAGTATATTCCCTTTATATATGAGCCCCAGATTGTCAAAACGCAACTAAAATTAGATTTGATAGTTAACACATTTTATCTCAGCATTTTGAACTACTTCTTTCTGGACGCTGCTGTCGATTACCTTCCCTCAGAACAGAGCTCGACAGTCTTTCATACAATCAAGTATTCGTGAATGCAACAAATATTTTGAATTGTCATTATGTGATTACAACTAGAATCATTCAGCCTCTTTACCTTTATGGTTAATTGAATTATGTCATGTCAGTTTAATCGTGTAAATAGCTTTCGTTCTGTGCATGTAATTATTGTGTATATTTTTGTGACTTGTGTACATATTCATTTTGAGACAGTTTGGATGTATAAGATTTCCTTCGGGATAATACAGTTATATCTTATCTAATATCAAACGTTAACGGCCGCTCATGCTTTGCATATGGCAGACAGGTTATCTCTCAACGTAACCCAATAATTCGAGTTATCTCCCCTTTTCGAGACCTTGAGTCCCAGCAAATGGACTCGAGTCCAGCTAAACCCGACTCGTCCTCGAGTACTCGAGTACCCATGGAAGCCCTAATACACAGGAATGAACCATGTTCATCCTACACTAAACAACAGTTAATAAAGCAGCCACTCACCCAGCACAATAAGTTTCTGTCCACAGTTCTGTATCACAATAGCAGACCCTCCAGCCCCACACGTGTATGTCCCTGCATCTGATGTCTGGATGTTGCTGAGGGTGAAGGTGACATTCCTGGCTGTTATGTTCCCCCGGTATTCCAGTCTATCTCCGTAGTTGCCAAAGCCGAGGAATATCCCAGAAGCTGTCATTGTGAACACAGCGACACCAGCAGGACTGAGAGCAAAGAAACTACTCCCTGTCCCCAGACCTCCCTGTGGAATCTCCCAGCTGAACCTGGCTGTGTCAGACACTGCAGACAACACTGGACTGGCACTGGGTGCACCTGATACAACACCTGGATAGAGAAGTAACTTACGGGGTGGCATAAAAAAGGTAGAATGACTAAAACGATATTCAATGTGTATCAGGTCAATGAGGTCTCAAATGCGAACAAAGAACATAAATAAGTTAAACAAAAACACATAAGACAGATATGAAAGACGTACCTGCAGCCACACAAAAAATAGCAGCCGAAAATATCTTGACCATGCCGGTTGTCTGCCACCTCAGTGAGATCTGGAAAGAAGTTTCATCGTTTATCATGACTACATTGTATAGTAGTTATTTGTATACATGTAGCAGGCAACTGTCAATTATTTAGGTTCATGTATACCTGTTAACACTGCATGTATGTATATATGCATGTGCGTGCGTTCATTCATGCATACAGAGTATATAGTGTCACATATATAAAGGAACTCAGACAATAAGGACACAACCCCAATTGTTAATCTTCAAACAGTTTTGCAGCGTCAGGATGATGCAGAAACTATCATATAATGTTGTGCGTTGCTCCATATTAGGCAGCGAAATGTATATGACTTATGTTTATTGTTATTCAAATGGTACTGGGTTTTATTGCCTATTTCATACTGACGAGAAGTCCAAAGATGTCCTGTGTTCATATAACTAGTTCGAAATGTGCATATTTACAACAAAGCTCATACAAAACGGTGTATGGACCAAGGGACGCTACTCTACTTAGCGGCTGCCTCACACACGAATCGTAAACAGACTTTGTTGTACACGAACTGTACACAAACTGTACATAACTCGTTAAGATATTGCATTTAATTAACGCTATGTCAGCAATGCATTATGCTATTGACACTTATGTATAGCTACAGAGTTATGTAATTAAGGGGTTTCGATCCATCAGTGTTCTGTTATATTATGCAGACAAGTTTCAAACAGACACGGTTGTATTTCAGCATACTGATATAAGAATATGGACCACTCAAACCAATAAGGTGTTACGGTTCACAATAGATATTTTGTACATACCAGCTGAGACTTCGACGTGTCCAGGGTATTATTGTCCTGTCTGACTGGGTAACGTAACACGGAAGTAGAGTACCTGTGTACATGTACATCGCCCATGTCAAACTAGTTCGGCTGTGTCTAAATATAGTTCAGTATATCGCTTCCGTCTCAAACATATATACACCTGCAGCGGTCGTGAGATAATAACAAATCGTAGTCCATTCATGTATAGATACGTGCCAATTAATGACTCTTATGATACTTTTTTCAAGCAAGGCCAACCTGTTCAGAGAGAAAAGGAGCTTCATATCTATCGTTTTAATCATAAAAAAGACTATTGTAATCGAATCTTTCTGTTTTATTTTGGAGATTGGATTGGATATGAGTTCTACTTTTCAAACAAGTTTAATGAAATCTTGACTAAGTCACTCTTAGAGTAGCTTTGTCAACCTTTATGTCAGTTTAGAGACTTAACCACCAGCAAATAGATCTGTACACAGCCAGTAATATCATTATAGGCGGATAATTGTAACATTGTTGAATACAGTAATCATTTTGATTTCTAGACACTATGATTCAGAAATAATTGACAATACACGTATAACATCTAAGATGGGCATTTTAGAATCACATCACTTGCCTGAAAACGACATTAGAATCGATGCCGAAACGTCGCTTTAAAAAGGTTGTAAATCAATCATTCTCAATACACGTTCACTAAATGGAAGTATGATGAAGTAGATAGTTTTATTTATTTGAGTCCTGTATTATACAAATAATACACTAACAAAAAATATAACTGTGCCTCATATAAAGTTTAGTAACAAATATTTATTCCGAAATTGAATGCTGTATAACTTTTTACACATTCATGAAATTACCTCCTCCGCTTTAAGGTCGTGATTTGCAAGTAAAGATGCGGGTAAGATTTGGTCTTCAGCAACCCATGCTTGTGCGGAAACGAGGTCGGAAGTCAGGTTCGCTGACTTGGTTGACATATGTCATTGTATCGCAGTTGCGTAGACCAATGCTCATGGCGGTGAACACTGGATTGCTTGGTTTACACTCGGTTATTTACAGACCGCCGCCATATCGCTGGAAGATTGGTGAGTGAGGCGTTAAACAACAAATAAACAAACTGTTACAATGTCATTGTCCATTGTATGTAAAGCAAACACGTTCAAAGTGAAACCCTTTGTCATCTCAACACGTGTTTTGATCTAAAGAATAGAATTATATGTATCTCAGTACCGTGTAATAATGTTAGATTCCATCCGTCGGTCCGGTCTGTCATAAACATCTTAAGGTTATTTAAGGTTTCATGAAAATCCTAATCCAGATAATCAAAGCAACAGAAGTACATGCAACATGCCACGAACAGCTGTGATCAGTTGAGGGGTGTAGCGTGATACTCAAGTGCACTTGGACTCCGGAGTTTAGAGTGGTGTCTATAAGAATGGACATGTCACCCGAAAGAGAAAAGAACAAAGTAATATTTTACTGTATGGTCTCATTAACACCAAGTTCAAGAATGACTCAGTATCAAAGATACTATGCGTAGCGTATCTACCGTGAACGTATTCATTGCGACCAATTCAACACAGCAGATTGGACTTAGAAGATTGGCTTTGGATGATTCATCATGTCATAATATGAACTGCAAAATAGTATCTTGATACAAATTATATACGAAAAGATCTCGACAGACTTACAACGTTTATATACAAACATTTACCAAATATATTGATCTATTAGTCTTTATCAGACCATGAATTTTAGATTTCCATATTCATATGAACCACTCATGAGCATGAACATATGAACTAGATCATGAGCATGTGTTTATGAATCAGTATCACATAGTGAAGATTCCAGGGTTTGGCGAACAGGTACATGTTTCCTCTCCCTTAGGTTCCCCACTCGTGGACACCATGTACGCACATTGTCAAAGACCACCTCCCTGTTTGTGTCGTCAACAGAGATGCAGAGGGAGACTCATGTCAACAGATACGGTTAGTCATGGCAGTGGTCTAAGTTTTAACGCTGCTGTTAACAATATTCCAGAAATATCACGGCGAGGAAAAAAAAGGGAGTCCCTACATGGTACCTATGTGCTGAATCGAACCCGTGTCACGAGCAAACGCTTTAACCACCAGGCTACCCCACCACTCCATGTCGACATGAAATTCAAACGACTGATTGTGACTATTATGAGGATCTATAATCACGTAACGTGTATTTTTACCCTCATCTGTAGTTTTATTCATAGGGTCCTAGTGATTTCTTTGAAGATTGATTTTTTTTCGGGGCAGCACTTATATTTCTTTAAACATTTCCTGAAACAGATTGTTTACAATATTTTAACCAACTGAAACAACTTGTCAGGTCAATTTGACTAGGTATGATGTATACATATACAATAATCCAAGAAAAACCGGGAGATCACAGGGCATGAATAGTCAGCGAGGGAGCTATTAGATAGCTCAGGAGTTAAGACATTCGCACGCTACTTGGGTGTTTATTCTTTGTGAAGCTGATCTTTGAGAGTTTGAGGTCTGAGTGAGAAAAATACAAAACATTGTTACTTCATTTCTTCCACGCTTCCTGCCCCTGTAAATAGTGAGTGAGTGAGTTAATATTTAACGTCACATCGGCAATATTTCAGCCACATCGTGACGAGAACATGCGATATTAGAATGAAATATATGTATATTATAAAAAACCTGCCGACGACGGACAATAAAAACACTAGACAATCACAGCTATCAATATAAAACTAGCGAAAAAAGCTAAAACATTCCAATCAACCAATCAAAGAAGACAACACAATGCAAAAATGGGCTATAGATCGCCAACAACTGAAGGTAGATCACCATACCAAAGACCATGGGGACTTACAGTGCCTTTGCTACCTGCATTGACCCTAGTTGGATTTACACCATCCCTTCAGCCATTGGCGACAGAAGAGAAATCTAGCCATAAATTAAAAACACACTTATTCTACGATTAAAAAGCAGGTACACTTAAATTGACTTTGAAAGTTTTGGGACTTACGTACCCCCTCAGGAGGACAATAATTTTACGCTACGTCAACCCCCTTTGAGGGTACAGCCACTAACAATCTCAGTTTCTAATCTAAACTACCAATAATAAAATATATACCTATTTACAAATCAGTCAACAAATGTAGTTTTTTTTAAAATGCAAGAATTAAACGAGAAGTGACATTATTTAAAAGATCCTTCAGTGTTTTGGATGTGAAATAGATATCCCTTGTGATGGAATATTCGATGCAGTCAAGCAAGACATGCTTGACTGTGATCCTTTCATCACAAGGGATACAAAACGGAGGATCTTCGCCTTTCAATAAATATTCATGAGTATATCTGGTATGGCCAATGCGACATCGTCGCATAATGACCTCTTCAAATCTGGACTGACAACCCAAGTAGGTGTAACCAATGTAGGGTTTTATTGCATGTAATTTATTAATACCTACTTGGGTGTCCCACTTCTTCTGCATTAGATCGCGGATGTATGTTCTAATGCTGGCTTTGTAATCAGAGTAAGGAATAAGAAGTGGTGTCACAGAGTTGTTGAGTGCTGCCTTAGCAGCAAGATCGGCTATTGTATTCCCAGAAATGCCAACGTGGCTGGGTAACCAACAAAAGACGATGTCGCATTGGCCTGTTGCAAGCTCATTATACAATTCAATAATTTCTAATAAAAGTGGATGTTTACAAGAAATATTTTTAATAGCCTGAAGGCAAGAAAGTGAGTCAGAAAAGATGATATATTGTTGATATTTAGGGTGTGTTTTAATATATTTTAAGGCTGTTAATATGGCGTTTGCTTCTGCTGTAAAATAGAGCTGTTATCTGGTAAACGAGAAGAGATGGTTCTGGATCCAATGACAGTGGCACATGCCACCGCGCCACCATCCTTGGATCCATCTGTAAATAAGGATTTATATGTATTATATTTACTTTTTAATTGATGATATTCTTGTTTATATTGTAATTCATTAGTTTCTGCTTTTTTAAATGCTGTTAATGTTAGGTCAACTTGTGGCCTAACCAATTGCCAAGGAGGAGAAGAAAGAAGACGGGAAGGAGCTATATTTTCGAGCTCAATGCCGGAAGCAGCAATAAATGGCTTAATTCTGAGCCCAAGAGGCGGAACAAGAGAAGGTTTTTTTGTTATACAAATCCTCATAACGGGGATGAAAGACACAATGAAATGCAGGATTAGTCTCGTTAGAATATAATTTCGTAATATATTGTAAAGATAATTTTATACGGCGTTGGTTAAGAGAAGGTTCATCTGCCTCGACGTAAAGACTGTCAACAGGAGAGGTTCTAAAAGACCCAAGACAAAGTCTTAGGCCTTGGTGATGGACAGAATCCAGTAGTTTTAGGTTGCTTTTGCAGGCTCCACCATATACGATGGAGCCATAATCGAGTTTCGAGCGGACCAATGATCGATAGAGGTGGAGGAGCGTAGCTTGATCCCCTTCCCACTTTGAGTTTGAAACAACTTTCAACAAATCGAGTGCCTTAAGGCATTTGGCTTTCAGTGATTTAATATGTGGCAAAAAAGTTAAATGGGAGTCGAAGATTAGACCCAAGAATTTGGCCTCCTTCACAACTTCGATGGGAGTGCCATTTAAAGATAGTTCTGGATCTTTATGCGGTTTATATTTTCTACAAAAGTGTAGACAATTAGTTTTGGATTTGGAAAATTTAAAACCGTTTTCAAGACAGCATTTATTTATTTTATTTAAACACAACTGCAATTGCCGTTCAATAGTATGCATATTTTTACCACGACAAGAAATGTTAAAATCATCCACAAAAAGTGATCCATCAATGGAATCGTTTAAAACCTTGGATAAACTGTTTGTCTTGATACTAAATAAAGTGACAGACAAAATACTGCCTTGAGGGACACCCTGATCCTGATTGTACTGATCAGACAGGGTTGAACCCACTCGGACTTGAAATTGTCTGTCTTTCAAAAACCGTGATATAAAAAGAGGCAAACTGCCTCTCAAACCAAAGTCATGTAAATCCCTCAAAATGCCATGCTTCCAGGTCGTATCATAAGCTTTCTCGAGATCAAAGAATATCGATACGGCATGTTGTTTA